ATTGCATACCTACATTGAAAGCTCAGTTGTGAATTGCAATACCTTGGCATTTTTTCCATTGAGATTAGTTGCCTGGAAATAATCTCTTTAAGGTTTGAATGCAGACTAGTGCAGTTTCCATTGGGTATTTATATAAACCTACTAACAAATGGGAAAAATACCTAAATCCATCAGGTGTTCTCCTTCCTCTGACAGTGCTGTGTAGTTCACACTTAGTCACATTTTCATAATCCTCATCTGATTTTTATATAGAAGTAAATTTAACGTGTTGTTACTTCCTTAAGTCATTTATAGTAACCTAGGGATTGGCATTCATAAAGATTATAGAGGTCCTAACTATTACACTGACAGGGTGTTCAGCTACGTTTTGAGGCATCTCAAAGGTGATTTAAGGTAATGAGGGTCCCAGAGGAAACATCAGAAAGACAGTTGTCAGTTGCAGGTGATTAGGTGCCAAATTGAAGATTTGATTAATGTAAATGCTCTTTATTTGAAGATTTTCCTGTGTTATTGGAAAAAAGAAAATACTTGCAATCCTTATGAGAAGAACATAGATCTTTTCTTTTGTTACAAAATATTGTATGACATTTCTGTTTCTTTTTTTTTTTTTACTTTTCCTTATGAACTTCCTTGCTCCTAAAAGGGAAGGATCTAAATAAAAAGAACAGGTTAAAAATGAAATTAAGGGAAGTGCCACAGAATGTTTGTCACTGTGTAACTGTGGAGTTATTATTTTTTTGTTCTTTGTATTTATATTAATAGAAGCCTTTTATTTAAACAATTATTTTAATTTTAGCACATAAGTCTCAGTGAATGTAGCAGAAATATTCTTGAAAGTCTGTGCTCAAGTATTCTGCTGGCTCAAGACCACAGTACTCGGCATTTTTCAGACCTTGGACTTAATGCAGCTGTAGTTGGAAATAACATATATTCAATGTATGTTCTGTATCTTCTATTTGGGAAGATGACATCCCGAGGCAGCCATCAGTCACCTGTAAAGGAAAGAAAGGTTTCTGGAAAGGTACCTGTGAGAAGGAGATGACAATTCCTGCGTAGTGTGGCAACAGTACTGTTACAAATTTGCATTCTTTTTAAATGTTTCTAATTTTTATAAAATAGGATGAAAATAGTACGTCTCATTTAAGTTGATGTTGAAGGTTTCTGGTGGAAAACTGGTGCAGCTACCAGTGTCTCTGGTGGCATTGTTGTTATGTCTGGGGAAAAAAAAAAAAAACAAGGAAAGGAAGAAGTGAAAAACCTCAAACCCGAAATGGGCAGCAATTAATCCATCTGAAGTATATTTTCTACTAAGTTCATGGGTATATCATGCATTCATTTTCTACTAAGTTCATGGGTATAAATGCATTCAGCATTTATACTTTATACTACAGCCAAGGCAGAAATAATTTTAAATGCCCCCCCTCCAACTTTTTTAATTAATTAAATGCTTCAGTCTGGTTCAGGTTTCTGATTTGGAACATCTTCTAGGGAATACTTGGCATGTTGTACTCCCCGGTAAGGATCAGGAGTGTCTGGTGGCTTGCTCAGGATGGTCACCTGGCTCTCACACCTAAGGAGACTTTGTCCCTTCTTCCTTTCCTCTGGGGAGCAGTATAGGCTCAAAAACATGATTCTGAAGCTGGTTTTCTTCTTTGTGTAATTCATTAATATGTGCAAATTAAATATATAATGCAGCTATTGAAAACTAGTAGTATTTTTATTATTGTACTTGTTCTGAACAGCTAAAAAATGACAGTTCAAGGTATTCCAGCAGACTTTGTGGAGTAGTTTGGAAGCCATTTCACATGCTTCTGGTTAGTTTTTGGTACTTTGAATGTCAGAGAGATAAGAAAGAGTACAGAAATGAGTAAGTTTAAAAACCTAGAGAGATAGTAGAATGGACTTTCAAAAGCTTCAGTTTTTAAACTAGGGTGAAATAAATTTAAATTAAAAAAAAAACCCAGTCTGAACACGGTGCTGAATGTTTTTAGAGTCTCTGCTCTGATCTGCATTTTGTGCTCAGCTTTGTTACGGTGCCTTTGTTAGCACGAGGAGTGGTAGATCTGCTGAGAAAACTGGGTGTTGATAAAACGCTGTCGGAAGACTCTAGCGAGGACCTGAACAATCGATGTATTTCAGAGCTTTAGTTTGAAGTGTGTAGGTTTTGATGTATGCTGTGGAGCTCTAGCTACATGCTTATTGAAAGTAAACCCTCAGCGCTCAGTCTGCTTCTGGGGGCTGCCTGGTTTTAGCTTGGGAAGTTTTCTTCTGCTTGAAGTTGACTTGGAGATCTGCCCTGCGTTTGTAGCGAGAGTGATTTCTGCAGCTTGGTATTTAAGGAATTGTGTGAAATGTCCTGAAGACAGGGATGTCAGGGGGCTGGGATGGACATGCCTGAGTGGAATTCATCACAGAGTGCACTGATGATATTTTCGTGAAATAAAATTCATGTTTGTTACAAAAATAAACATTTTTCTCTGACTCTGACAGAAGCTTATTAGGGATATAGGAAGTTCCCAGGCCTTGATCTTTATTATATTTGGTCTTGAAAGCTGAGCTTATAGCAACGACTCTGGCACCAGGGAGATCATAGAACTGATGTAAGAGTTTGTTCTCTCGCGCAGCCCGGTAAGACCGACCACCCCAGGGGAAGGGACGCGCCGTGCTGGCCTGCGCAGACCGACTGTGGGCTCCTGCCGTGGGCTCCTGCCATCAGGGCTTGTCAGTGGGCTGGAGAAAAGGGGGATTTCAGTGAATGAGACCTCTTGGTTCTCTTTCTATAGCTGAGCATGATTGACTTCAGATCCAGTGCTAGAAATAATCCCCCTTTTACTAATAAAGTATTTATTGCTGGTCAGGAGTGGTAATATTCATTACTATTATTCTTTAATCTGTCGTATTTGCAGGGAAAAAAAGGGCTAATATTGTATTTGTGTGTCTTCTTTCCTGTAATTACTTGTATACGCTTTTACTCCGAGGCTGTTTAATTATTATTTTTTAAATTTAATTATTAATTTTGGTTTTAGCTGATTCTCAGTTGAAAAAGTTAGTGGCATGCCTTCTCTTCCCTGCAAAAACAAATAGATCTTTTCTACTTAAAGCTCTGATTTTGTCTATTTCTTACTCTGACAATGTTTAGGGATAGCTGTGAATGTTGCATAAGGTTGCAGGTGATTTGTTCATGCCAGACCACTTTGCAAGAGGCTTGAAGGAGTCCCTGTGTGGTCCCAGAAGGCTGGTTTTTTCTTCAGTTCAATAGAAGACAAGCAAGACTTTCACAGTCAGACACTGTAGGAAGCTTGTGGAATCGGGAGGATTTCTGTGTGATATCCTAAAGACAGGAGTTGAAAATGACTGCTTTACAAATAGCTTTGCTCTCTGCTTTAGAAAGGCTGCCCTGCTGCATGCTGAACTCTTTGCAGAGATTATCCCCGCTTGATCTTAGACCAGATTTCTCATCTTTTCTTTATTTATTAAGACCTTTTTTATATTAAGGGCTATCATCCTGTGTAAGGAAGCTAATAGGTTTTGATTAGATAGTTGGGTTTTCTTTTATTTTTATATTTCCCATGTGCACAGAAATCCATTCTTCTATTTATCTATTTTTTTGTTTGAACATGAACGGATTTGTTTTTCTTTGTGGGGCCATAGCTGGATAGAAATACCTGGAATCTATGATCCATTTTGTCCCATGTCCTTTCCCTCCTTCTCCCCATGTAAAATAATGATCAGTTTACTTCTGCAACACTAGTGATAGTGAAACTTCTTTCCCTTGTGAAAATGGAAATCTAATTAAACCTTTTATTTCATGGAATTAAATGATTGCTACAAAGTACTTGTGAATACAGGATGGTAGCACCAGGGAAGTCTAATTGTTATTTGTCATTTAAGTAGCCTTTTCTCTCCAGATTTTTCTCAACTGACCATTTTCTGTGTTTGGTTTGTTTGGTGTGGTTTTTTTGTTTGTTTGTTTTGTGAGTAGCATTTGAGGCTCACCAAGGAGTAACTCCTAGTACAGGACAAAAAGTTGCTTTACACAATGTGTAGAATCCTTCAGAGATGTAGTGAGATTAAAGCAGCTTCCTATTCTAGACCATCAGTGCCTTTGTTTAACAATCATTGACAGTAGGGGAGCAGTTGGTTGACTTAAATACTAAATGAAACTGCTGTAGTTGCCTGTGTTATTTCTTTTTGGTGAAGGTAGTTAAGAGCTATCTTTAAAATACCAGTTACATTATGGCTGGCCCAGTGCCAAAGCCATCGGTTATAAACCTGTGAGCAGCTATTGTATTGGACAGAGAAATTACTGCGTAATTACCACTTCAGCTCTGTAAATTTTTAGTTGATTAAAATGATGATAAAAAGCATGAAATGTGTTTTGTTTTGTTTTTCTTGTGGCTTTGTGGCAAGGAATGTTTAAGCAAATAGTTAGCTATGATGGGAGATCGTTCTATGGGTAGAATAAAGTGGGAACATTTTAAATACCATTCATTTCAAATTAAGTTTAATCGTGAGTGGCACATCCACGGTTCATCTTCGACAACCATCGGCTTTTTGTAATATTCATGTGCTTTTATTTTCTTTAAGGGAGTTTCTCCTGAGGCGTTAGACAAACATCTTTCCTATTCCTTTTTTATTCCTTTCCAGCTAGAACCCATTGCAAAGTGAATTTTAAATAATTCCTTTTTCTTTCTGAAGACCCTTACTTTTACTACTAGAATCTTGGTTAAAATCCCATTTGTTGGTAATGATCTCATTAATTGAAACAAGTAGGAAAACAAATCCTTGAGATGGGTGCCAGCATTGTCAGATAGTTGCCCAGTGGCAAGTCATTCTGTCGTATATGAATATCAATCAGTCAATGAACCTGTGCTCAGCAGCCACAAGTGACAAAACCAAGGAGTATAGATTTGGCCTCTAAGGCTCTGGAATCACTGCCTCCTATGAGTTCATTAACATGCTAATAAATCTGTTTCTCGTTTGTCTTCCCCCTTCTCCAGTGAACATTTGTCATGTGCCTTCACATTCTTCCTTCACGGGGAAAGCAATGTGTGCACAAGTGTGGAGATTGCTCAGCACCAGCCAATCTACCTGATCAACGAAGAGCATATCCATATGGCCCAGTCCTCCCCCTCGCCCTTCCAAGGTAAGGTGGAACTTTGTGTGCTGAACCTCGCTCCTGTGTGGCGAGGACTTTGCTCCTGGTGATGTTATCTTCAGAGAGGAATAAAGTGAGATTAAGTAACTCTTCAAATAGCTTGATTTGCTCTTCAGAAAGTTGTAGACATAAGGGAAATGTTGCCAGGACTTCAGCACTGGAGTCAGCCATAAATTGTATGGGAATTTTCCAAACCTTTCTATTTGTTAACCTTGGTTATAAAGCTACATGCATATACTAAATGAAACAAAGATATTAATCATTTTTGTTTAAAAAAAACTTATTATTTAAGAAAGTGAGTGCCCTGATTTGATTTTCTTACGTGGTATCTAGATCAGTGGGCTCAAATCTGTAACTTCAGTGCTGTGTGAATACAAATACTAAGCTTATCTAACTCAGGAGTACTTTTCATTCATAGATTGCCAACTTTTTATTTTTATTTGCAAAGATGTGTGTGAAAATGCATCAGAAACAATGAAAAACTTGAAGTATCTGTGACTGTTTATTTGCCAGTGTAAGAAATTAGGGGTTTATAGAATTAAGTTAATGACTTATTAAATTCATGATGCAATTGTGGTGCAACACTCTACGTCAAAAAAATTGAAGAATATTTGAGTCACTGAGTTACACTGTCTTCACTACTGTCTGTAATCATCATTTCAAAGCAATTAAAACAATAAATTTTTATAAAATTAAACATGCAGTAAAGAAACACCCAGAGACTATAAAATGAGCATTTACAGAGACATTAATTTATAGAGGCTTTATTGAAAAACATTTTGTTATTAAATGTAAAGTTTTGACAGAGGCTCAGACATTTAAATCATAAAAGGTTTCATTTCAGTGAGCTAAATTCATTACTCTCAAATCAAATACAACTGAAAGCAAAACTGAGTCTGAATAGAAATACCTGTTGTTGAGCAATTAGTTCTCCTTATTTGTCATGACTGTCATTGTCTTCAGGTATTATCATCTTTTTAATGCTGAGAAGTCTCTAATACCATATGTTCCTGGTAAAATCCCTGTTGCTGAGTGTCTGTCCTCTCTTATTGCCATGTATGGTCATCCCTTGGCCATAGCGAGTGTTATCTACACTTAGATAATAAGTTCATTGTGGAAATTACTAAACTAAACTGCAAAAAGGGCCATTTTTAGCTCAGTAAGGATGGATGTACAGGAAGCTGGTGCAGTGTAACGTCGCTTGAAATTCACACCCTTACCTGATTTTGCAGTAGCTTTCCCTAAAGACAGGGAATCAACATGCGAATGGAACAGTGACTCCAGCCAGGGAGGCAGAGCCTGGCTGATACATGGCTGAAATGCACATCCTGCAGGGACTGTTGTTCTTACTTTGCAGTTTTGGTGAGTCCTTATGGTTTAAATGGTACCCTCACGGGCCAGTCATACAAGATGTCAGACCCAGCAACTCGTAAATTGATGGAGGAATGGCAGTATTTTTACCCTATGGTGCTGAAGAAAAAAGAAGGGATGAAAGAGGAGGAAGAGTTGGGATATGACAACGATTTCCCTGTGGCAGTTGAAGTCATTGTTGGTAAGTTTCAGGATTCTGCCTGAAGGATTCTTTTCCTCCACATGATTTAAAAAAAAAAAAAAAAATCTAATTAATCAGAAACAACCATTATAATTTTCCTATCTTCTCTTGTAGCTCTCCTGGCACTGGAACATCTGACTAGTTATCTTGCCTCGAGCTTTTGTACTCCCTGTATCCCACATGCTATTATTCACAGCATCAAGCTACTTGTTTCAGCTCTGTACTGGTTATAGAGGGTTAGGTGTATATTAGTGTCTAAAATTTCTTAGCTCTTTATATTTCAGATGATAAGTTTTGTCTAATTGACATTGAAAACAAGTTGAAGCAGCTAGGGCTGCTGAATATCATAAGGTATATTTCAGATTTGTATTTTTCCATTTCTTTGTAGGTGGTGTAAGGATGGTGTATCCTTCAGCCTTTGTTCTCATCTCCCAGAGTGACATCCCCATGTCACACAACACTGCCAATACTGGAGGCCATATAAATGTGGGACAGCAGGGGCTTGGAAGCGTGAAAGATCCTGCTAGTACCTGTGGGATGCCGCTCACGCCACCTACTTCTCCAGAGCAGGCTGTTATGGGTAAGCAAGAAATTTGTGAGGCTGGAGTTAATCTTTTATTTTCACACAGCTCATGGTAAGTGAGGATAAGTATGTGAATGGTAGCAGATTAAAGACCAGCAACAGACTGAAAGTTAGGAGAGGACTTTTTCTGTAGGTCTGTAGTAAATGAAAGACAATGCTTTAAACACCCCTGAAGGAGACACATCTTTAATCAAAACTTGGTGAATTCAGTTAAGCTCCATTTTCTATAACTGCATTGTCTTTGTGCAGTAGTGCGAGTACCTGAGAGACTAGATTCTGGCAGTGTTTGAGACAGATTTTGCCAGCGTTTATGAAGTGTTTGTTTTCATGTGTTGAGATGGGAGGAGGATATTGATGCATTGTGGCACGAGAGGACTGTGAATATACAAGAGTATGTAGCTCTTTTTTGTAAAGAGCTGGAAATACAGCACTTAACGAAGCGTTCATCTTGGTATAATAGAAATTTGGAAATGCTAGCTACTAGTTTTGCCCAACACAGTGGGGTTTTAATTAAGGGCCATTCAAAAGAAATGCGTAAGTCTCTGGAATAATGAGGAGCTTGGTTTCCCAAACGAGGCCTGACTTAGGCTTGCATGATATGCAGATTGCAAACAGAGTGCTGCTTAATATTTGCAAGTGAGCTACGTGTTTTGTCTGGATAGAATATGCCCCTTTCAAGCATTTGGATCCATAGTAGGTCTGATCTCAGAAGCCATCTGAATGCTTGGAATGTGGGGTACTAGATCCTTAAAATCTTGCTTAATTGAGATGAATACATGTATCCCGTTGATCCTCAGAAATGAAAATGAATATCTATAACCTGTCATCATCTGGAATACAGACAAGACCTTAAGATTAATTGCTGTCACTGTGTTTATGCTGTAATGAATTCAGGACTACAATTTCAAATGAGAACTAAGGAATAGGGGAGTCAAACATCTGTTTGAGTGCAAACTTCTAAGATAATAAAGAAAAAAAATCTGATGTAGAAAAAATAAATTCAGTGATTTTTTTTCTCCCCTCAAAAAATGTTCTTAAGGCATGTTTACAACTAATTATTTATTTTTTCTGTGTAATTTGGCAGTCAATAACAATTAGAAGATAGTTGAGGTTGGAAGGGACCTTCGGAGATTGTCTTATCTTACCTGCTGCTCAAAGCAGGGTCAGGCAGAGCAGGTTGCTCAGGACATTGTCCGATCAGGTTTTGAATATCGCTGAGGATGGAGACTCCACAACCTCTCTGGGCAACCTGTTCCAGAGTTTGTTCTTCTGTTTAAATGGAGTTTCCTGTATTTCAGTTTAGGCCCATTGCCTCTTCGCTGGACACCCATGGTTGTGTCCTCTCTATTCTCCCTGTCAGGTATTTGTCTACATTGATAAGATTCCTCCCCCAGGTTTCTCAGCCTCTCCTTGTAACCTTTATTAATAATAATTTCACAAGCACTGGCATGTTTTATGCTTTGCAAATGACTATTATTTGGAATTGAGTTCTCAGTTCACAAAAGATTCTCTGACTTGAGTCACATCAGGAAAATGATTTAGAGACTCCACTCACCACTGGGCAGCCTTCTTCTGCTTGAACTTGTGCTTGTCAAATTCATAGAGCAGTAGAAGTGTCGAAGACATGAAGTTCCTTCAAGTTTCTGTGAGACTGTGCAGGCAGATGGGGATAAAGAATCCTTGTTAGACCCTCACTGAGGTTTAAGGAGCTACCAAGCCAGCTCAGCCTTTATTAGGTAGTTCTGTCACATCAAGAGGATCAATCTTGGTGCAGAGCCAAAGAAAACCAGTCATCATTGGCTTCACTGCCATGGAAGTATTGGTTTGGATTCACTTGTCCATGAACAGTGCCTGTATATGAAGACAATCAAAGTATTTAGTATTTACTGCTAATAATATAGAATGTGAGATTTAAATCCTTTTTGAATAGTATTTTTCAAGGCATCTGATAGTTAAAATAAGCAAAATGTTTATTAGTAACTAACTGAAGCAAGATAGTTGACTTCTAAATTGCCATCTCTATTGCAATATTGCTGCATATTTCAATGTGTTATTGTATTTTTAAATTTTTCAGATCCCTGTTAAAACTTGTACAGTATCAGAAGGGGATTCTATTTTAGAATATTTATAAACTATTAGTATTTAAAAAATGTTCATATTGTCCAATCTGGCAGTCATGGTGTCTGTTTGATCTCTGCTATTGTTTGAGGGCAATATGAAATGGTGTCAGAGGGGTGCCTCTCCAGTGAGTAATGAAAAGATTCCTTTATATTTTATCATACACCATTTTAAAAGACCTTGAAAAATGTCGTGCAGATCAGAATCAGTGCATGGGATACATAAACTGGATTAGTCTGAGACACATGAATAATACTTCATTTCTTCCCCATACTTGTAAAAATGTGGTTTTGAATGCTTAAAGATGTGGACAAATTGGATGGAGTTCAGAAAAGTACAGGACGAACTATTATTTTGCAAACAAGACCTACAGGAAGAGATGGAAAGAATTGAGCTTGTTTAGTCTAGAGAAGTTTGAAGGAGAGGTGGTCTAACAGTCTTCAGAGACATAAAAGGAGAAAAAGAATCATCTTTTCTCTGCAACCAAAATGTAATGAACCTAAACTGGAGCAAGGCAAAACTAGGTTAAACATGAGGCAAAACTTTCTCTGAGGAAGGATAATGAAGTGTTGGAGGAAATTGGCTGGTGGGAAGCTACAGAATTTCCATTAGCTGAGTTGGGGTTTTGGGGGGTTTTGTTTCTTTTCAAAGAACAGGTTAGTCAAATATATTGATCCAGCTTTGAAGCAAGGGATGGACTAGGTGCTCTCTTCAGGTCTCTTTCAACCATATTTTCCATGATTATGTCTAAAGGATGTGGTAAAACAAATTGCTACTGACACTAGAGAGAATGGCTCACGTGTAAAACAAACAGCACGGTAGGGATTGTGAAGTGACCTCTGGTGTGTGGCTGGTTGTGTCCTCCAGTATTTATACCATTATATGACAGAGTTGTAACACAATTCTGGAACTGTGTGTCCCAGTATTGTTAGTGATTTTCATGGGTGAGAATTAATGTCGCTGGATGAGAACAAAATGTTTTTGCTTGCTGAAAAATTCTGTTTCATGTTATGCCTTGTGTTGCTGTACTGTACAGTATAAAAATCCTACAGGATTTTGGAAAACAATAGTTACTGCACTCAAATGTAACTTGAAAGCTCTGGTAGCTCCTTGGTTATCTTCTCATATCTTCCAACCTTCCATTTCCATTGTACTTCCCCCCACCCCCCCAGCCCCTTGGCAGTTTTAACTGTCCTGCTATGACACATTCAATGTATATGTGTGTGCTTCACATTTGTTTATATGTACACATACCTCTCCCCTGCGAAAGGACAGATTTGCTAATTCTGAAGTTTTGATCTGTTTTTTTTTTTTTAATCATTTGTTAAATTCACAATGTTGTAGAACATTCGAAAGCCACTTAGAGCCACCAACCTCAGTATGTCAGATTTATTTATTTGTCTGCCTCTTTATTAATTAGAATTTTTTTACAAAAAGAGAATCAGAGAACTTCTAACTGGAGGAAAAAAAAATAAGCACAAAGAATCAAAGAAGTTCCAGGGTTAGGCAGCTTGTGCACAATGTTAAAAGTTGTATTTTGAAAGTCACCTAACAGAAATCAGCAGAAATACCTTGTTAGATCAGTGATGTATAGCAGTGAATCCTTTAGCATTTCATTCTTAAGGCTTCTTAAATTGCGTCAGACAGGACGAAATGTTCTGTACACTGATTTGACCTTGTTAAAATGCAGCATATCCTTACCTACTTTCCATCCAGAGCACAGAGAAGTGTTACTCACTCGCCAGGCCAAACGAACCTAAAGCTCCCTCTACTGCTGTAGTTTGTGTTTGTAAAGAAGATCGTGTTAGATAGATTTCAGTTAATCTAAAACAAAACCATATTTCATAGTAGGAAAAGAAACATCTGCTTATATAATAGCTGGTAAGATTTCTGCATCACAGACAGAAGGAAATGAAGTGCAGAATGTAGATCAGTTTTTCAGGCTATTAACATGTTGAAGTAATATCTTCATTTGTTCTCTTTGATAATCATAGAGCATTACAGAGAAGCTCACATACTGAGTTATTAGTATATACTAATGATCAAGTGGTGAACAGTTTCTGTAGTGGTCTGCATTTCAACTGGAAGATTTTACCAAAGCAAGGTTTGATTCTGGTATTTCAGTTCAAGCATATTAGACAGAAATAGCATCACACTAATCCATTCATTTCTTCAGTGAAGTTTTATCTTGAACATAAAGAAGTGATTCTTGCTTTGAAATAGTCTCTGTCAATTACTGATTTTCTTAAATAGATATTTTTAGAACCATCCATATTTTAATAAATTTAGTCATTAAAGCAACTGACCAAAGACTATATAAATTCAAGTTTAACATCCAGGATAATTTGGAAAAAACCTCTACCTATCTGCATTGTTCCTTAGTGATTCAGTACAAAGCTGTAGGGGTATCTAAACCCCCTCCGTTTAAGTGGTGGAGGATATTCTCTCAGGCGAGGTGCAGTACTCGCACGACTCTTGTACCTGGTATAACCTAGTGCTGTCTTTGTTACCCCAAAGGTAAGCATTGCTTTGAAATGTAGTTCATTCTGTCTTTTATAATGATGCTTTAAGCATTTCCTAGTGAATGTGAACATCTGTGTTGTCAGCAGCCTTATAAGAGGGAAACTCTTTTCAGGAGAAATTATCAAATGTGAATATTAAGAACGGCTGTAGCATTAATGTTTAATTTACATTGCAGGAGAAAGTGGATGCTCTCAGAGCAGTATCAGCCATTCAGCTGTGCAGGAGGGGACGGTCAGTGTACACAGTCCGAAGAAATCAGGCAAGATTACTCCAAAATTTCACAATCATATGGTTCACCGTGTCTGGAAGGAATGCATTCTCAACAGGTCACAGTCCAAGTAAGGCAGTAGTCCTGATGGTTTTGTTCATTAATTGCATATAGTGTATAGTTCAAATTGTAATGGTTTTCCCTTAGATAATGTTATTCCTCATAGAATTCTTTTGCCACTAATCAAAGCTAATGATACAGAACAGCATTGACAAAGAAAATTTGTTACTGTGTTTGGCTGCAAACTCCTAATAATTAACGTTGTGTTTGCAGTTGTGTATCTTAATTATGACAGTCTTTGAGGTTACAAATCTATAATATGTGCCTTCAGCTAGATGCTTTCAGATTTATTGATTGCAGTTTCTAGCTCCAGTTGTAGTTACTAGACTGAAAGTTGAGTGACTGAAGAAGAAACAGTATAGATTTGATATTTAGAACTCGAAGGGTAATATTTGTAAGGCATTATACATTACACGTGTTAGACTACAATTCCAATTGACAAGGATATGGTAAATTCATGTTGTTAGTATTGTAGGCCTTTATTACTGGAGATTTCAAGTATATTTATGGCCTAGCGTGCCCCGAAATCTTCATTTTTCACTATTTCCATGCAATATCCTCATTGGATATGTCAAAAGAATTTCCAGATTCAGTTTAAATTGTTTGCCACTTGCTTCTTGCGCTCAAACTCCAGACAGAGCTCTCTGATGTAGAGCTGGTACCACCCTCCCATGTAAATCAAACTGTAAGTTTTAAGGAATAGTAGGGGGAGCTACTGTTAAATACATAATTCTATTGCAAAGGTGAAGTAGAAGGAATTTATTTGAGGAGAACATTTGTGAATTTACACAAAAGTGGTTTAAAATTACGTTTTACAAAAGGTAATAACTACTTAAATAATTTTATCTTCTTCAGGAGGAATCAAATGACAACTGCAAATTTGGAAGAGGAAGTTCCTAACAATCCTGTTTCTTGGGATTTTGTGGATCCAGTCCAAAGAGTCAGTTGTTCTTGTTCCAGGTGAGCTTTGAAGAGAGTGAACATTTATCATATTGGAAGAGCTCTGTTCAATTCAGACGAAGGTTCACTTAGAAAAGGGAGTATGTTTTAGCTGAGAGAAGAGGAAGCTCTAATATCAAAACTGTGATCATCACTCATATTCAGGTGATTAATATGCATCTCATATCATTGCCACTTGCAGTAGTCAACTTGAGTGGAAAAAATGATCTTAGAATAGAGAATGGGGGCTGCAGTCACTCAAACATTTCGTTTTCATAATGAACTCATCCTTCAAGCTTTTCAGAAATGTGAGCTTTAAAGTCTGGAGTACTCAGACTCATGATGAAGAAGGGCAGAAGCTGCCTAATTTTCAGAGCATCCTGATAGAAGGGAGAGTGCTACTGTCCCTGTGTGGAGGGCTGAGGGATTCCCTGAGAATCACTCTACTCCATGTACCTCTTGTCAGTCTGCCATGATTCATCTGACACCAAAAAACACCCAAGAGAATATAAAACCTTTGCAGCATGATCATCCACTGTCAACTGATCAAAAAGAAATCACAACTCACTTACACAAACACTTTAAGAGTTTATTAAATTATCTGTCATCTTTGATGAATGCTTAAAGTTCCAGTGCTAATCACTCAGGTAAGGCAAACCAGCACCACCAGTTCTGCTTAACATTCTTAAAATTATCAGAGAGATGTTACTGGGCTAGGAAAAAAAACCAAAACCAAACAGTTTGCAGTGAAATAGTTCTGTGAATCAGATTTTATTGACATTTTTAATTCTTAAGGTCGCCATCTACTTATAAGAATGATAAAGATGTTTTTATGACCTAAAGATATTATTCCTTAAGTATTCGGAGATGTAAATGTCATTTGTATGATCAAACAGAAACACTAATTGTGCTATACTAACTCCTTTGCAATGTTTTTCCCCTGCCTCCCCCCTCTCCTGTCACCTCCAGTGATAACTACATCATGCTGGAGTTAGTAAACACAGCAACTGGGAAACTAAAACATTATGCTTGAAGTGAAAATTTTGTGTGTAGCTGCAGAAACTGCACAGCTACTGTTATATAGACATTGTTTTAGTCATTACTGTGCCCATTATATGTATTGCATAAATTAGAGTATTAATATCAAGGTTTGATCTTAAATTTGGAGTCTTACAGGGTTGTCTGGTACTCAGCATCAAATTCAATCTTCTACAGACCTAACTTTATGTGTTGAAGAACAGAATGTCTAAAATAATTTTCTGCAGTAAGTTAAAATAGAGTGAACGATGGAGAATTAAGTCAATGAAATGTTACAAGAACATGCTTAAGGCAAATCTTCAGTCACCAGGGCATTAGCTCCACGTTACGGGTCATAGCAGCTAAAGACCATCTGCTGTGGCAGAGAATTTGCAACGTGTCCTGATAACAGCAAAGCCCACGAAGAAGGGCAGGACAATCCCACACAACACGGATGGTTACACGTAAAAGATGTAGCAAGTACAAGAAGTTGTGTTTGTGCCATTTGACAGCCACTGGGTGCTATAAAACTGAGATGTTTTCATAGCTAAGTCATAAAAGCAGAATTAGTTTTCTTCCATCAAGCAGTCCACTTTACTTGCGATAATGTCGTTTATCTTTGTGAGTAAGAAGCATGTTACATGTCTGGAAATGTTTTATTGCTGTCCTAGATACTGTTGTTTATAAACAAAAATAGGAATGGAGTGATTTATTTTGAAATGGTATTTGACTTTAAAACAGATATAAATATAAAGCACAATATGTCTTTCAGTTTCTGCTGAGCTTAACAAAACCAAACAAACAGCTAAATAAAAAAATTCCAAACCGAAAAAAAAGGCCAATAAAAATATGGCCAGAGTTAGACGTCCCTGTTGTAACGTCCTTGGGAGGACCATCAGCTAGATGGTGAAAATACTGTTTAGCAGTACCTGAAATACTGAAATTCAGTCCTGTGCTTCCCAATCTTAAAGATACTGGGTACAAATTGAAAAAACCCATATTTTAATATAGAGCCAGTAATAAATTTGTTATGTTACTGCATTTTTTTGTTTTGAATATTTTAGTATATTTGTTTGTGCTTTCTTCACCAGCTGGTAGTTGCTTTTTTGTTTTGTTTTTGGTGGTTTTCTTTCTTTTATTTTTGTTTTTGGACTAGAGTTGTACTTCTTTTTCCTTACCTGATATGGAGGAGGAAACTGCCAGGAAAGCGTCCTGCTCTCTATTGCATCTGTGAACGTAACTAAAACAATTCTGATCTGTATCTTTGGTAACAGATGCTCAGGAGTGTGCGAGAGTAGTGGTGTAGTTCCGCAGCAATCATTTTATTTGAAGGGCTATCTCTCTTTAGAGGAATGAAAACAACAGTAGCTTGGATTTGTTTTGTTACATGACCTTCCATCTGAGCAGTACTAAGCTTTTATAAACATTAAATCTTGCCTTTGAATGCTATTTTCTGGAGACTGTAATTTTCCATTCTATAGGTCAGAGAAACTGCAGCCAAGTGATCTTGAAGGACCCAATCCAGATCATATGACCATTCCAGAATCTGTTAAGAGATCAGGAATACACATTAGATTTCTTGTTTGGGGTTTGGGTTTTTTTCCCCCCATTAGATCAGATAACTGTGTAAACCATGCAGTGACTTGTTTCTGCCTCTGCTTTCAGGCACAAGGTTTTCAAACAGCGGTGTGCTGCTGGCTCCAGCCGTCCCCCAACGATAAATCAGCCAGGATTCAGTGTGGGAACATCATCATCTTCATCATTGCCACCTCCCGCCTCTTCAAAGCACAAAACAACAGAGAGACAGGAAAAAGGAGATAAACTGCAGAAGAGGCCTATGATGCCATTTCACCATCGGCCCTCTGTGACTGAAGAGCTATGCATGGAGCAGGACACATCAGGGCAGAAACTGGGATTAGCTGGAATGGAGCCCTCTTTAGAAGTCCCTAATTCCAGAAAATACGAGAAGCCGCTCTCTATATCTGCTAGAAATCCGGGCAAGCAAATGAATATGAATCCTATGGATTCACCCCATTCCCCAACGTCCCCTCTGCCTCCCACACTTAGTCCCCAGCCAAGAGGTCAGGAGGCAGAGAACCTGGATCCACCTTCCGTACCTGTAAACCCAGCACTCTATGGCAGTGGGCTGGAGCTGCAGCCGTTGCCCAGCTTAGATGACAGGACAGTCCTTGTTGGACAGAGGTTGCCTCTGATGGCAGAGGTCAGTGAGACAGCATTATACTGTGGGATCATTCAGAACAATGAGTCAGTAGATATGTGGAGAACCTACAGTCTCCCAGCGAGTGACGATCCAGAGTTCAGGCCACCAGATCTTCCATGTGAGAGATACGATGCCAAGATGGAAATAAACTCGGACAGCACTGCGCTGAAAAGGTGAGAGCACAAACTGATCTGAGTGTTGGCTTTATTAAATTATGAGCATGGCCAAATTCTGTGCTCAGCTGAAACTGAAGCAAGTAGAAGGCTTCACTGTAACGTCACAGATGACGTATGCTGGAGATGACATTAAATATTAAAACATAGGAATGTGCTATTGTACTAGGCCTTATTTTTTTTTCTGTTGGACATTATAAGAACTGATAAATCTTTTTATAACCTATATCACAATAATTTGAGCAAGTGTAAGAGCTTTATTAGGCTTATGTCTTCTGATCATTTAAAAAAAGAAAATCTGTGTTTAGTTACACAACCTTCCAGCCACATAAGTGCTTGGTTTTAATTAAATTCTGTTTATGGCACTGTAGAGGCAATTAATTGTGGTTTGTCCAATTGTGGGGGTTTAAAATTGCACTGGACCATGCTTTCTGTAAGTAGTAGCTGATACTATATTGTGCTTTTTTGTAAACCCATTGTCACATCTTCATTGGCAGCTTTGCTGTTAACTTTGTAGGATTGAAACTGAAAAACCCTAACAGGGTCTCTGGTCTGTAAACAGACAGAGCAAATTATAACCTTTTGTAAATGCTACTTTAGAAAAGCTACTGTATCTTCCTTAGTGAAGAACATGAACTACCTGGATTTTAAGGAATTTTAGCTGTCTCTTTCTTTTTAATTTTTTTAAACATGAATTACCTTTTATGTGAAGATTATTTATTTGTTTGTTTATTTTAACTTTGGCATGAGAATTTGAATTAATTTTATACCAACCTAAAATTTACTTTTGCATTCTGACAACGTGCAGAAGAAATGTACCAAAGCGAGTAGTTAGTGAAAATGTATAGGTTAAAATTAATTGAGGAACGATTTCTGAGTTATGACATTGATTTTAGTAATTATAATGGAGTTTGCTAGGCTGAAAAGGTTATGTGTACGTTAGAGTGGTTTTATTTATATAGTGACAAGATTAATTCTTTATTTGGTGTCCCAAAGTAGAAGTTCTTAATACAACAAAATGTTTGATACTAAATGTAGGCAAGTGCATCATTTACTTGAGGAAAAAACGTATTTCTGAGAGATCAGAGGGGGTGGAGTGAACCCTGGGTTGTATTTTTGTGTGACAGCTACAGGTCTTAAGGGCTGTTCTTTTTCTCTGCTGTAAGTTATGTTTGTTTTGTTTCATGATGCCTTTGTTTGCTTGTTTATTTTTACTTTCAGGCTCTTAGGACAACCTAATAAACGGTTTAAAATTTTGGAAGAGCAGAAACCAGTGCAGACACTGAACTATCTTGACCCCTTGCCTCTAATACAACCACCTGGAGAAGGCCTGGGGGATGCTAGTGATCCTTACACTTTTGAAGATGGTGATATAAAGTACAGCTTCACTGGCAGTAAAAAATGCAAACTTGGGGCTGAGAAAGATCCTTTGAAGAAGATCAAGGTAATATTTAAATCCAGAATCTTTATCATTAATATTCTTCTGTGACTTAAAAGTCCTGTAGCACAGTATTTGCTCTGCAGCTCTTGGGAAGACACAAGCCTGTTCCACAGATCAAAATCAGAGAGATTCTGTATTTCTTCCTGCACAAGCTCACAGGAAAAAACTTTGTTTCACTGTGATATTTTTGAACTTGTATTTGCTGACATCCCTCTGAACCTGTTTGTATGTGAGAACACTGCTGTTGCAAGGAGTATTTCCTGTTTATGTATATCCAGCTTGTCCAGCAGCAGGTTCCAGATTTCAGCTAAGAAATAAAATACTTTGAGCCTTATATTCACATGTAGAGATGAAAGAATTTGCTGGGCTTTTTTTTGTTTGTTTGTTTTTTCCTCCTTGCTTGCTACAGCTTGACATATCACCTCACTGCAAAGCTCAGAGCTCTTCAACCCAAGTTTATTTTTCTTCCCTTGGGCAAAATTAGTGTAGCCTTCTGCTGAGAGGATTTGTGGCAGGGACACTTTAAACATTTACTTAGAGATGTTCTTCCAGATGTGAAAGAAAACAATTTGATCATCATTCTTTGTTCATCACCAGCCCTGTACGCAGCCCTCATTCATTATGGAGCTGTTTCATTGTCTGGCTACTCACTCATTTGTTCTTGTCAGAGTAGCCACCATAATTAAAATTCTAGATGGGCTTTCTAGAGCAATGGAGGTGGCTAATTATCAGTACTGGCTGTCAGAGTTAGCTGATGTATGTGGAATCCTTTGCAAATCATAGACAATGATACGTTACATCATGTTTTTCCTGATAAGCAGCAGACAACTTTATTCTTTTCCCTTCTTAAATGTTCTCAAAGCACTGAATCCAGAGCTCTGAGTTTGGCTTGACATAGGAAAACAGCTGTTCTTAGGTAATTAAATTAACGTCCATTAAAAACTCTTGGATTTTTTGTATAGTCAGAAGATGGAATTGGTACCAAGGAAATCTCCACACCGGGTCATTCCACACCAGTTCCTGATGGAAAAGATGCCATGTCTATTTTCAGTTCTGCTCCTAAGACTGGTGAGTAAAAGCTCCTTAATTCGCTCTGCAAAGCAAAAATGCTTAAAGCTCTGCAATAAAATCTGAAAGGGAAAATCACATACTGAGCATTTTACTGTATCTTGAGAGCTACAGACAGCTCCTGAGATGGGAAAAAACTTGATTCTGGTTTTTTGGTTTGGTTTTGGTTTTTGTTTTTTGTTGGGTTTTTTTTAGAATATTAAATGAGCAGTAGCTACCTTGATTCTTTCCTGGTTGACCTTCAGTGCTTGCTTAAAACTTGACTGCAAGGCTATTTCTCAGCTACATCGTAGGAAAGGAGCCTCAGTGACTCTTGCTTTTCTCCTGTTCAGAGTGAAAAGTAAAACTGAAAACGACAATTTTATGTTTCTTAACTTTGCTCTCATTTTCCATGTGTTTTTCTCTTTCTTTTTGACAGATACCCGGCAAGACAACGCTGCAGGTCGAGTAGGCTCTGGTAGCCTCACACAGGTGACGGATCTGGCTCCATCACTTCATGATCTAGATAATATCTTTGATAATTCAGATGAAGATGAGCTTGGTGTAAGTCTTTGTAGGACTGAGTATTCTGAAGACTTAAACCTTAGCCAAATAAATGGAGGAGGGGGATGGAATCCTAGTGGGGAGCGGTTATAGACAACAGGGAGAGTTCCCAGGTAGGCAGGCTTGGATTTTAACTAGGAGGAACTGCTAGCAAGGACAGGTGTCCTGTCAGGAGATCCATCAAAGAGAGAAAACATCACTGTGTATAGTTGAGGAACATTAGGAGATCACTTGGGTGACATCAAAGCTTCTGTTGTTGGACAGTTTTTCAGTCATGAGGGGAGCCTGTGTACAACTGAGTCACTGACCCAGTCATTGCAGACAGGCTAGAAGAATCCTTCCGCAGGTCAAGCAGTGCATTGGCTTTCTGAATGCATTCCATCTGGTTTCCTGTCCTTTGCCCTTGTCAGTATTTAGTGTTAGTTTGAGAGTTATGGAAAAGATCCCAGTTTCGTTAACTGGTGAGTTGTTCTTTTAACTTGTCTGAGAAGCTGCCCAAAGAAAAATAAATTCAGCCTCACTGAATTTCAGCAATTCTCTGAAGCATGTTTCTTTCTCTTCCTACGAGCAGTTTATTTCAGTATTGTTCAGCAAAGAGGAATAACTGCTGAATATTAGGAAATACAAAAGCAATAACACATTTACATCAATAACCAGGGGAAAAAATCAAGACCATAGAAAGGCAAACATTTGAATAATTACTGGTTTCAGGCTTAATCTAATACAGCCATAATGATCCATACTGCCCCTGTGACAGTCTGTTTATGACACTCT